GCATCAGCATTGGACTCAGGGGGTCTGGGGGCGCCGACGCGGCCCTTGAAAAACTTGCATTGCATTCCGCGGAGGGATGTGGATGTAGGCCCTGGGCCTCCTACCCTTCCCCCTCCTGCTCCCCCTCCTTCTCCATCCTGGGGCGATGCCAAGAGGGGCTCACCACGAAACCATGGGCCTTCTGTCCTTCCCGCTCCTGCTTTGTCTGCCTTCTCCCTCCTGGGGCCGATGCCGTGAAGGGGGGCCACTGCGAGGCCCCGTCCTCGAGGCACTGGGCCCCAAAGGAGCAGTGTCCGGAGCCAACCAGAAAGACCCCCGGAGGCTTCCCATCAGCTCCCAAGAGGCCCCCAGGAGCCCTGCAAACAAAAACCCTGAGGTGCATCCAGGGAAGTATGCCATGCACCCCTAAAAGCCCCTCGACTTGACCCACAACCCAGCTCCCAAGAGGTCCCCAGGAGCCCTGCAAAAAAAACCCGAGGTGCATCCAGGGAGGTACGACACGAACCCCTAAAAACCCCTTGACTTGAGCCACAACCCGGGCCCCGTGGGGGGGGGGGTCGCCCGGCGTCCGAGCGCCTCGGCCGGGCCTCGCTCCTGGCGCCCCCTGCCTTCCGGGAGGCGCTGGCGGCTGCCTCCCCCCCCCGCTGGTGGCGACCCCCCTTTGGCTGGCGCTGCCCGGCTTCTCACGCAGCCTGGCCTCCGGTCACGGGGGGTGCACGGTGGAGGCCGGTCCACAAGGAAACCTCCCACGAGAAGCCCAACCCTGGAACCCCAGGACGCCCCTTGCTTTTTGGTACGAGCACGTCATGCTTTCCATGGCAAAGCCATCGAAACCCAAGCAGGGTGTTTCTTGGCATGGGCTCCCACTGTGAGGACCAAGCCTGTGCCGGAACACTTGCCCCAGTGCCGCCGAAACTGGCGCCCGAAATCTTCCGACTGCGCCCGAGCGTGACCAAACATGCTTGGCACGAGGCAGCTACGATTCGCAACTTCGGCCACAATCTCGGTCGCACATGCTTTTCGGCTGCACTCCTTTTCGGCTGATGGGGGCCGGGCGCCGCGAGACTTCCTGTGGAAAGAGCAAGCGCCGCCGCCCGCCTCCGCCGCGTTGATCTTGTCCAGCGCCTCCAGGGCGGCCGCGGTCTCCTCGCGGGCACCGCCGGTGGCGGCCGCGTGCGGCGACGGCGGGGGGGGCGGAAGGCGCAGGAGGCGACCAGAAACGTTCTTTCCCTGTCAGAAGAAGAGGAGGAAATTCGCCGGCCCAACGGGCCAGAGGCGTGCTAAGATCTCCGGTAACTTGTTAACAATATTTCTAGTTCGCGCGCGCGGAGCGGCCCCTGGGGGCCCCCGGACGAAAAGTACCCCGGCAAGGTCCCGAGAGAAGCCCGGGAGAAGCCACCAGACCACTCCAGGGGAGGGTATTTTTCGACACCCCTCACGAGGATCGTGGCCTCCGAGGGGGGAGCCGCAATCGACTACCCCCAAGAGCCCCCCAAGAGGCCCTGGGGGCCTCCAAAACGCCGCCAAGGAGCCCCAAGAGACTCCCAAGAGGTCCCCAAGAGGCCCCCAGGAGGCCCTAAAGAGGGCTCCAGGGCCGGCGGCATGAGCGAAGCGATTAAATAACAGCAAGAAGCAACGGCGAGGGCGAACGCCAACGCGGTCAAACCGCCAACGGGCCGCGCTGGGCAGGGGCAGGCCGGGCGAGTGGAGAAGAGGAGGGCGGCCGCGGAGGGGGAAGGCCCGAGGGGGCCTCGGGCGTAGGGGGTCTTCGCCACGAGGCGTGCGCAGGCGGCCTCAAAACTTCCACGCCTCACCATCTTCAGCCTCTGGGAGCCGTGGCCCGGGGACCGTGGGAAAACAACTCGGCTACCGGATCGGAGTACCCATGAACCTCACTGACTCCCTCTATGTGCCCCTCCGGAGCTGCCCCGGGGAAGGGGTCGAAATCTCCCCAGGGGCCGACGCCACGAACCGAATCGGAACGGGGGGGCGAGATCGAAGTGAAACGGGCATCCCCCGCACCGGGGAAGTGCTTTCGGCTCCGGACTCGTGCCGTGCACGCCAGCGAGGCGAAGCTGCGTGCGTGGGCGAGAAGGGTGCTACCGCCGTTGCCAGGGCGATGCGGACCAGACGTCCCTCCCCCGGCGGCTGGTGGCCCGCGGCTGTCCCGCCGTCGGCTATTCCGCGGTTGTCCCGATGGCTGTCCCGATGGTTGGCCCGATGCTTGGCCCGACGGCGGGCGACGGCGCCCGCGGCGCAAACCTTGCGACGGCTCCCGGGGCCCTGCGGCCAGCAGGCGCGGGCGCAGGAAGCGCGCACTGCGGGAGCGGTGGCGGCAGCGCCCGCGGGTGGCGCCGTGCGAGCGGCAGAGCCAATCCGTATCACAAGGACGCGCGATGATGATGCAAGGGCCTCGGAGGGCCGTTTCGAAGCTTGTCGAGAGGGGCGCGGCCTACTTTCGAAAGTGGCCAGAGATGGGCCGAGTAGGCAAGGGTGCCAGGGTACCCTTGGGAAAGCCGCTCATCTCTACCATGCGGGTCGACTGTGCCCCCACCAACCATCGGTTCTCCTGAATCGATGGGAGGCGGGGATGCGCAACCCTCCTCGAAATCAAACGCAAGTCCTTACCCAACCCCCTCGCCCCCGAATTTCAATGTTGACGGGCGCGCGCAGCGCGGCCTGCGGGGGCAACAAACAAAATTGCAGTCGCCAGTTTCGGCGTCAATGTTGAAATGGCGGGCCCGGGGGCGTCGCCACGTCGTTGGAAAACCTTGCGTTTGACTTCGAGGAGGGATGTAGGGTTCGGATCTCGCCACGCGCTCGACGCATTCCGAACCCTGCCCCCGCCGCCCATCGAGCTTCCCGAATCGTTGATCGGCGGGGGCGGGGCTCGGACTTCGCCACCGACGGGGCCCCGCGGCCGGCAGGCGCAGGCGCAAGAGGCGCACGCTGCCGGAGCGGAGGCGGCGGCACCGTGCGGCGGCGGCGCCCATGGATGCGGCCGCCGAGGGCTCGGCCACACGCAGGAGCGACCCTGGGCAAGAGCGGCCTCTGGTGGGCGACGCTCGGGAGCCGCGGGGCAGCCCGAACCCGAGCGCGCAGGACGCTGCTGTCGCATCGCGCTCGGCGGCCGGGGGGGCCCCAGCGTGCCCGCACCAGGAAGGTCGCTCTGGCGAGGGGCCGCTCCTGCGTGCCGTCGAGATGGGGTCCTCCTCGGTGGCGGCGGCGCCCGGCCCCTGCCCGCAGGCGGCGTGGATGGTGTCGTTGGCCCGCGCCCTCGCGCGCCGCCGCTCCTCGCTCAGCTCGTCCAGCGTCTCGCGCGCGGGCGGCCCCAGTGGGCGGGGTGGGCGGGGCGGGCGGGGGGGGGGGGGAGGGAGGGATGGAGAAGGAGGAGGAGTCGGAGGAGTCGGAGGAGGAGGTGGAGGCGGAGGAGGCGGAGGAGGCGGAGGAGGAGGAGGAGGAGGAGGAGGCGGAGGAGGAGGAGGAGGAGGAGGAGGCGGAGGAGGAGGATGAGGAGGAGGCGGAGGCGGAGGCGGAGGAGGCGGAGGAGGAGGCGGAGGAGGGCTCCAGCCAACGCAGGCGGCCCGAGGCGCGCGGGGCCCACGGGGTCTCGAGGCCCAGCAGGCGGAGCGGTCGCTCGGGCAGGGCGCGGCGCGGGCTCCCCCGAGGAGCAGACGGGGCGAGGCAGGGGCCGCGCGGAGCCCGCGGCGGCCGCAAGCGCAGAGGCAGGATCGGTCGTCGTCGTCGCCGTCGTCGTCGCCGTCGCCGTCGTCGTCGTCGTCGTCGTCGTCGTCGTCGTCGTCGTCGTCGTCGTCGTCGTCGTCCCCTCCCCCTGGAGGGCCCGCGAGAGGCTCCGAAGGCGCGCCAGGCCCGCGGGCTGCACACCGGCACGGGGTCGACGTCGGCTCGGATCGGCGCCGCGCAGGCACCGGGCCGAGAGTCGGATCGTCGGAGCACCGGTCGGGGGCGGCCAACGGGGTGGGGGGCATCCCAGAGGGGGGGTCGCGAAGCGCGGCCCGAGGCAGGTGTGCGGACGCAGGGGGGGCCGGGGGCGCGCTGGGAGAAGAGGAAAGGGCGGGCAGGCATCCTCCTGGGAGATCTCATGGCCCCCTCCTCCTCCTCCTCCTCCTCCTCCTCCTCCTCCTCCTCCTCCTCCTCCATCTCATGGCCCCCGGCCCTGACATCGGCTACACGCAAGGGCGACCCTGGGTAAGAGTGGGCCTCTGGTGCGCGGCTGCTGGGGAGCCGCGGGGGGATTAAGCACAAGCGCGCAAGACGCCATGATCGCACCGCGTTCGGCGGTCAGAGGAGCCCAATGGGCGCGCACCAAAGGTCGCGCCGGGGAAGGGCAGTCGGTGATCTCCCCCCATTCGTCAGCACCCCGCTCTTGGACGCCCTCGAAATTGTCGGAATCGAATCGGATTGAGCGGGCCGGAACCGATATCGAATCGGATCGGTCGGATCGATGCGGAGGGAAGCGACATCCGAACAGTGCCCCCACCAACCATCGATCCTCCTGAACCGCGGGTGTGGGGTGGCAAGATTTCGCCACGCGCTCGACGAATTCCAGACCCTACAATCGGCCCATACTCAAAAGGATGCGCGATAAGGGTGCAAGGGCCCTGGACTCCCATTTCGAAGCTTTTCGAGTGGGGCGCGGCCAGCGAACGTGGCCAAGGATGGGCCGATGGGGCAAGGATGCCAGGGTACCCTTCGGGAAGGCTGCCCACCCTCACGACGCGAGTTGACTGTGCCTCCGCCGCCCACCGAATTGCCCGAACCGTGGATCGGCGCGGGCAGGGCTCGGATTTCGCCACCGACCCGGGGCCCTGCGGCCACCGGGAGCTTTAAAGGGAAATTAGGGCACACAAATAAATACACACAAATAAAAATAGTCCCCATATTTTCCTATATTTTCTGGGTTTTTGTCTTCCCCCCCAATTCCCATATTTTCCCATATTTTCCTGGGAATCGAGGATTAATTGTGTCTGTGTGTTTTTTTCCCTCCTGAAGTTTATTTGGCGCAGGACGCGCGCGCGCTGCCGGAGCGGAGGCGGCAGCGCCCTGCGGCGGCAGCGCCCGTGGATGCGGCCGCCGAGGGGTCGGCCACGCGCAGAGAGTGGCCCTGGGCAGGAGAGAGTCGGCGGCGAGCCCCGGGGGGGGGGGGAAGGGAGAAGGGGGCGGGCCTTCCCAGGAAGGCTCGTAGAAGTCCCCCGGCCTCCCCTCGACGACGCAGGGAGCGCTTCTCGGAAGGCGCGGCGGGGCCTCTGAGAAGCCCCGCCGCGCCCCGCAGCCTTCTGCGACGGGGCCTTCTCCTTTGCACATCCCCCCTTCGCCCTCCTCCTCCTCCTCCTCCTCCTCCTCCTCCTCCTCCTCCTCCTCCTCCTCCTCCTCCTCCTCCTCCTCCTCCTCTCGCCGAAGCAGTGGCCTCTGTAGCGCGCGACGCTCGGGGCGGCCGCGGGGGGCAGCCCCGGGCCCGGGCGCGCAGGACGCTGTGCTGCATCGTGGATATCGGCGAGGCCGGGGCCTGGGCTTCGCCGCCGAAGTTCTGTTGCGCCAGTCGTACCTGAGGACCACATCCCAGAAATAAATTCTCGGGGATGGACAGAACCCCCTGTAGCAAAACGTGGAGGCCCCAGGGGAGCCCAAGACGCCGCCAAGGAGCCCCGAGACGCTCCCAAGAAGCCCCCAGGAGGCCCCCAAGACGGCCCCAAGAGGCCCCAACTAGCGCTCCAGGGCCGGCGGAATGAGCGAAGCGATTAAATAAGTTCTCGGGGATGGACAGAACCCCCTGTAACAAAACGTGGTTTAGTGACAATGACCTCGGGCGGGCACAAACCTGGAACATGACGGCCGTGCCGCCCTCTCCAGAACCGAAAACGGACAATTCACTGATCAACGTGTCAGGGTGGGGGCTCTGTCCACCCCCGAATTTCGAGCACCCGGAAAAGTGTCGAAAGAGTGTCGAAACAGTGTCGAACGAGTGTCTCCCAGGGCCCGACATGTGGAAACCATCGCGTTTCGGTACTTTTTTGGTGCTCGACATTCTCTCTGGTGATCAAAGCTAATGTAGGTTGGAGCATCACAGCGCCGAAATGGGCCCCGCAAGGGCGCGCGGAGAGGCCTTGCCAGGGCCCCAATCCGGCCTTGCGCCCGCGCCCGCGCCCGCGCTCGAGGCCCGCGCAGAGGCGGCCGCGAGAGGGCGGCCGCAGACGACGGCGGCGACGAAGACGCACGACGACAGCGAGGAGGACCAACGCTGGTCCTAACCACATTGACAACGAAATAGCCTTAAGTCGGGCCTGTCCCCCTACAGGAGGATTTTCGATGAAAAATAAACTACACCCCCAAAATAATCAAAACATAGTCCAAAAATAGTCTGGGGACTATTTTTGTATTTTTTGATCTTTTGGGGGTATTTTTGAGTATGTTTTATTTTTCGTCGAAAATCCCCCTGTAGGGGGACACGCCCGACATAAAAGTAGCCCCAACCGTCACGCCGATGTCATGGGCAAATGCGACCGCCGAGTTCGTCGCTGTCATGCCGTCGTGGGCCACGGGACATCACACAGAGGACCATAAGGAAAAGTCGCGAAGATCCAACACAGCGCGCCTTGTAGGTGTGGTGATGTCGTGTCTTTTCTTGGTCGACCGGCTGGGCCCCGAGAAAATCGGCCAAGGGGGAGGGGGAGGGGGAGGGGGAGGGGGAGGGGGAGGAGGAGGAGGAGGAGGAGGAGGAGGAGGAGGAGGAGGAGGAGGAGGAGGAGGAGGAGGAGGAGGAGGAGGAGGAGAATCCGTTCAAAATACATTTCTGGGGCCCCTCCCGGGGCCCCTCTTGTGCCACGTTTCACCCCGGGTCCCTTTCGGACGGTCCAGGGGCCCCGGAGCGGCCCCCAGAGACAGAAGAAGCCTCCCAAACAGGTCTCCGGGGGAACGAAAGGGGGGATAGCAAAGGGTAGGGTATAGAGAATCAGCTCACGTAGCTGCGCCTCCCGGCGCTGGGAGACGCCCATGCATCGAGGAAGGGGCCCGGCGGCGGGGCCGAAACCGGCTGCATGCTGCAGATTTCGTAGCCCTCCCTTTCCCCATCCCCCCCCCCCTTGCTCGCCATCGCTCGGACGTCCATTCCCCGTGCGTTTTGCGATTTCGTGCGCGCATTCTTCGCTCAATGATCAGAGATGCTCCTCGATGGTCCTCGCCGAGAGAAATGCACACGTCCGAGCGATGCCAAGCTCGCGTTCGGCCCTTGGGGTCGAGGCCAGAACCTCGAGCCGGGAGGCGCCCCGGGAGGCGCCCATGGCATCGAGGAAGGGGCCCGGCGGCGGGGCCGAAACCCGCTGCATGCTGCAGACGTCGTACCCCCCCCTCTCCCCATCCCCCCCTTGCGTTCGGCCCGTCAGGTCGAGCCCAGAACTGAAGGGGCCCCAGGACACACACATAAATACATACACACACACACACACATAAAAAGGTTCCCCATATTTCCCCATATGTTCTGGG